TTCAGAACAAAAATTTTGAAGGACAAAAACCCATGAAAATGCAGCTATTACTAGTTCATAGGAATTTCGTTTAGTTTTCCAGTAAAAGCCGTTAAACTTAGGAGGTGTAGTTTAAAAGCTAGTAAGCCGACGCAATTTGCTTGATACTTTTTGAAGAATTTGATAATAGAGTGGAGCTTTTGTTTAGTGATAGAAATCACGCCTTCTAACCGTCTTCCTTCGTACAGATATGGGAGAGAGGGCGAGGGGGTCGTTTCTAAAGGGCATATACTTGAACTTAAGCTTGATCCTGGCTACATGACAACAGGTACGTGTAGGATAAGTTCTGGTGCGAGGCAGATCGAAAAAACGGCCTGTCATTTGTGAATGCTGTACAATAGCGTAAGTAGATAACTGCCTAGGTCCTTTGTAAAAGGTATCGCTTTAGATGATAGCAGCGGTAGAAGCAGCTGCGTTCATTACCGCGAATGCCTTCAAGCTAGTATGTCAGTGTTTGTTTCAGAAAACAAAAATGAAAACAAGATTATCATTAGAATTTTATAGAGACCAAGCTTTCGGCGATTACATGGAAGTCAGAGGTCAGTCAAAGTCAGAGGTAATCTCCGTGCCAACAAAAGCGACAGATTAGCATTCCATTGAGTAACTAGTACTAGGGCATCGTAGAAATCACTCGGTCCTCGAGTCTCAAATAATCGCCGGGAGCAGGCGGTCCGCAAACTCGCGCTTTTCTGCGAGCTGTCAGCAGAATTTTGGGGCGTGGCCAAACAAGTGATACTTCCGTGTTTTGTCAGCGGGCAGCAATACAGAGTTTTCTGCGAGCGCTCGTCGAATAATTTTACTTAGCGAGCCAAACTTTCAGCAGGCGTTCGGGCTCTTTGCAGGCAGCTTCGGAAGTACGCCGAACAAATATAAGCCTCTGTGTGGCAGAGGTATCATCCGATTTGATTACCCGAGTATGGGATACCTTCTCTTAGCGGAAGGTACCCATGGGCTGTGCGATACTTCACAAAGGACCGTGCGGCCCCCAACATCCTTGCATATTCTCGCGGGAAATCCACGGGAATGTGGCCACTGCGTCGCAACTAATCTAAGAATAGTCCCTACGTTCACGTAAAAAATGCCTAACGTTCTCTCAAATATTTGCAAGCGGAACACAAGAAATAAGCGGACTATTTTTCCAGCACCCGCTTGCCTATAAATTGTACGGCCGCCTACCCCCTGGATTTTCTGAAAGTAACAGCAAAAGCTGTAGTGACTACATTTCAACATGATTATTTCTCAGCTCTTCTAAATATGCCTTTTTGGTTCATTCATTTTTTGGATGTTCACAGATGTTCGAAACGTTTTCAAAGTTGTGCTAAATTCTCAGACTCATACAATTCCATTTCAACTTGAAACCCTTCATATAACGTAACGGTACGCTTGCACACTCAGTATGTGCTTGCCTTGTGTGATTCAATTGTAATCAACCATGAATGCATAACAGGGCTAAAAGAATGTTTATTGGAAGTGGTTAGCGTAGGATTCGTCAAGAGCACTCGCAAGCACCGAAAAACGCTAAAAAGGCTACAACGTTCTCTTTTGGGTGTGCAACCCTAAAGCTGAACCGTAAGTTCCAGGAACTTCTTTTAACATTAAGACTAATCTTTTCGAAACTTGAAAATGCGAGCCGTGACATTTGCTTCAAACATTGGACCATAGTAAAGCTCTCAGTTTTGGTGATTTGGAGTGAAGCTATAAGCTGAGGTTCCGTCAGGTGATATGACAACCGCCCACCTTCCCATGCTATAAAGGCTCCCGCCAGAGTGCCGAAGTTATGCCAGCGCTACGCCAGCATTTCGATCGATACACGTGTATTTCGTTGGGGACATCTACCTGCTGAGCTAGCCCCGCCCCAACGAAATACACGTGTATCGATCGAAATGCTGGCGTAGCGCTGGCATAACTTCGGCACTCTGGCGGGAGCCAAACATGCAAAGTACAGTTGGTCATCCGTCCACCTGTAGCATTCAACTAGTGCATTCTCGTCAGTTCACATTCAGCTGGGATGTAAACTGATGCAAATAGTGTGGAAAAGGAGACGCAGAGAGCATTACCGTAAGTTGCTCCTGAGTAACTTATCACATATCTATCTACATCAGTTTTCCAACATTGCGAACAGAATCGGCGCTAAACTGCACTATACCGGGACCCGGAAAGGAGAGGATCGATGAACAGGTGATCTTGGCGTGGAAAACAAGAATACAAATCCTTTTTTCCTCTAGAGTTTGCTGATTTTTTTAGAAAGCTGCTCAAAGCGAGAACTTACTGGTTTATTTCATTGAAATTATGTTGCAATCACATTTTTTCATTTCTTCAGAAAATGTGTTTTTGTTTTATCCATGCATTTGATGGGCGAAATCCTTGATAGCGGCCATCATCGATTTTGATGGCCGCTACCAAAGATTGTCCTGCGATGCAGCTATCTGTTCTTGATTTTGAGCAACGGAAAAAACCCTGCAAACGTATTTACGAATACTACTGCATGTATACTGTACGATGACCAAGTTGCAGGCACGCAGAAACTTCCTGGAAGGAATTCTTAAAGCAATTAAAAACTTTTCAAGTTTGGCTCATTTTACATGGAGCGCGACTTAAAGGCAGTGTCCGGGCAAAAAGTCGATTTTGAGATTTTGTGCTTACCAGTGCCTATTCGCTACGCTGAATCCGAAAATGCACATTGGAGTGCGCGAAAACGGCAAAAAAGGGCTCTAGTGGGGGAGGGAAATCCAAAGTGGGCAGGGTCCTCCCCACTGTGAATTTCGCAGTCCCAGCTTCTGGAGCGATTTTCCCAATTCCTCTAGCTCCCTGAGATCGTCACCGACCAGGTGCGAATGCATGACTTGAAATCGGAACCGAGAAGATCGCTCTGGAAGCTGGGAGCGTGAATTCACAGTGGGGAGGACCCCGCCCACCTGCTGATTTCCCTCCCGTGTTAGAGCCGTTTTTCGCCGTTTTCGCGCACTCCAATGTGCATTTTCGGATTCGGCGTAGCGAATAGGCCCCGGTAAGCAAAAAATCTCAAGAATGAGTTTTTGCCCGGACACTGCCTTTAAATGGATCTTTGGTGGTCAACATGTAGAACTTACGGTACTTTTCCGTTCTCCGGACCCATTTTTTCAGAGAAGGATATTGCTTCTTTCCTTGTACCATATTTGGTCCTAAATTCACAGGAAAGGAGTGTCAACCTTCTGCCACCTGTCAAAAAAAAATTTGACATGTCATCCACAGGTTTAGCAGGTTTTACAAGAGTTTGTATTGCCCTACCTACTGACTTAAGTTCAATCGATTTTTCAATCAATAATGACCCCATTTTCGAGTAAACAATTTCAAAAATAAATATCACTATGATTATGACGTTATCCTATTATCAATGAACAGACTGGACTTGCTCAGAATAGAGAATTGTGATAGATTCTCATCATTTTAGCGGCGAAACAAGCAGTAGCGAGGTACTTCAGCCATCATTTACAGTCCTTCTTGGCTAAAATCGCATGACGGACAGAGTTTGAAAAGAAAGTCATTTTTGAATTATTCCTGAAAGCAATAAATGTCCTTATATAAGTTCTAAATTGTTTTTCTCTTACAGAAACCGTTAAACAGCTTTTAGGTAATCATGAATGCTCTTTTACCTCACCGGGAATACTTTCCGAAAAAACATGTCAAATTGGACCAAAACGTGTCAATTTCTTTCTGACACGTGGCAGGGAGGCGGTCCTCGTAGAATCTATAAAAAATTGTTCTCAAACTAAATAGCGCACTCCTGAGAGCCTTTTGAAAAAATGGGTCCGGACTCCGGATAACGGAAAAGTACCGAACTTACTTTACTTTATCGGATGGTATCGCAAGTCTGCTAGGAAAACAAAAATTATAATCAATTTATTTATTTATTCAGAAGAACGATTAATTGATTTTATAATTAATTACTTACATTTTGTAACAAATTTATTTAGAAAAACGTTTACTTTTCGGACCACCTAATAGTTGCTACGTGAATAATTTTCAAGCAGTAAAGCCAGCACAAGTCCATCGTAAATTACTTCGCAAAATTCTAGAAATAACTAACAAGAAAGCGTGCTTAGTCAATATGGCCTTTTCAGATGAGACCATACCGCTTTGGAGAGTATTGCACGGTAATTCCAAATCTGCCTTACAGATCTGCCAAGCGCCTCTGGATGCCGAGTCATGACCGTTTTTGGAACGAAAAATGAATGCAGAATTTAGGTAAAATCGATTGTTACAATCTTTTCAGCGCTCCGATAAAGCAGTGTTAAGTATTAGCATACTAGACAAAACGCATCCGTTGCATAAGCGGCTCTAATACTCGACACTGGATCATTTGAGCAAATTTGGGCGATTTTGTTCAAGTTTTTTTTGCGTTCAGTTCTTTGACCTAAAAAACGCCCATAACTCGGCGTCCAGATATGCTTGACAGATTTAGAAAGTAGATTTAAAATCATCTTGCAATACTCTTCAAAGCAGCACGGGTCTCATCTCAAAAGGCCACTTCGACTAAACACGCTTCCCTAGTAAAGTTATACCCATCTCGACATAATCTCAAAATGTCAGGCTATATATACATATAGCGTCTTGTTATTCGGCAAGTTGTCAGCTTCCCAAAGCTCGAAAGCTAAGAAACTTCACAAAGGCTGTTTTATTGCTGCAGACGGAGTACACCCATAACAATAAAACGCTACGACGGAGAACGATGCCAAGCTCAGCAATGACAGGCGAATTTTTCGGGCGACTAGCAAATCGATTGATATCTTTTCGTGCACCTGGTTTATAATGAGCAGCACAACTGATGTTAACGACAAGAGCGTCCAGCGAAAATGACCGATAAGCGATAAAGTCAAGAGTCCACTTGTTAGCTCTGTCAAGTTTTGGGCGTTTTCCCAGCAACTCACCAACATCTCTGTGTTTTTTGCTGGCTTGAAGACTTCTTCTTTAGGCGCCGCCACATGGACGACTCATTGCGCATCCTACAGTTGTCGTTCAGCTCACCTAATGTGATGCCAATGAAAGTTTTCGGCGTTTCATTCGCATCCTTTCATCTGCCCGCCCGCCACGGCGGTGCGCCTTTGAAGCGCTGCGACGCAGTCGCGACGCGGTGGCGGCGACTTCAAAGGCCGTCGCAGGGGCGTCGCCGCTCTCTCAGCCACACGTTGTCCCGTCATTTCGCCAGCAATCGAGTTCCAGCTAAAATCGCAGACCGTCTGTCCTGGCCTAACTCCAACTTAAGCACTTCCTCTGCAGTCCACTACTGTTATTTGTGCTTTAATCGCGGTTGGTTAGTCCACGACTTTGTAATAAATGTGTAGCGCATTTACGCCTGCGTTTATTAGCTCAAGAAGCAGATTGGCTTCATGTTTTCTGAAAACTGCATTTTGGAATAGAGCAGGGAGAGCGTCGGTTAATGGCTCAGTTCAGTTGTACCTTCTAGTTTGATTTATGTGGTCATTCATGCTGTCTCTTTACTTTCGATATTGCTGAATCATGCATGTGATTGTCATGTTTTCAGGAAAAGACAAATAACGAGCTTGCAGACGGCGATTTTGCCATTGTATTGATTGTGTTCCAATATGTGGCGCTGATCCAGTACTGGCCTCCAAAATTCAAAACTTCGGTTCCCGATGCAACATCGCTTAGGAGGGGAGGGGAAGAATGATCTGAGATGCTGCAGATATGATATTCAGTCCCTGCAGTAGCAATATCTTGCCAGAATTCATTTTGTAAATGCATCTGTTTACGTTTTCGGAATGGCGTTTATAAGGTGAAAGTACGAATTCGGTTTTTGTGCTGTTTCATGGAATCATTATAACTATCATTTGTAAAAGGCAAGAAGTATGTGTAAACTTTTTCACCAATCAAGCGCATCCTAATAGCAGAGAATTAAGAAGTTATCGAGTTTTTTTGCACGCCTGTCAGTTTTTTGCCGGATTTGCTAAAGTGACACCCTAAGCTGTGTTTTGCGAAAACAAACGGGACGCCTTTGACTTGCGGTTTTCACACTTCACCAAAGTCATTCACACGTCCATGCTGACACCCTCCATCAGGCAGCCTTAGTAAGATAGTGTCACAGAATGAAACTTGAGCTTTTGCGATATCCCGGATTTCTCTTCTTTCGATAGAATGGGTAGAGACTGAAAGTGTCCATATTGTGCACTTACTTGTCCTTATTCATCCTTGATAATATATTACATGCCAGTCTATGCTAAGAAACTCCAAGCACCAACGGAAGCTGGCTTCCTTCGATGACCTGCATATCTTCTTTCACTGACCTGGCGCATTCTAGAGAAGCAGTGAAAGGCTAGCCTTTACTAGAGCGATACTGCTTAATCACCCTAGCACTTACTGTAAATAAGGAGAGGGGTGAGGTATGAAAAATAAAAAAAAGGCTGGACTTTCTCCTTTTCCTCTTCTTCACGGATTCGCTCGTTCAAAGTTGATTTTGATCAGGCGTTCGCAACTTTTTCCGAGTACATCTGTCAGAAGTGTGCAAATAGAACGTTCAGTAGAAGCTAAAATAAATTTTCTGTTTTCTTTTGAAGTGTCTCGTATACCATCTCTTTATTTTTTGCACCTGTTTGCTCTCTCGAAGTCTTGCAAAGAAGTGTTGACTTTGTCAAAGTCGGATGACTGCGCTGTTTTCATTTCTTGCCAGAACAGGCCTAAATGTGTTAAGAGGGAAAGAAATGAAATGTGTTTGTCTGTATCGGCTACTGTCAGATCGGCGCAAATCCAATCTGTCGGTTGCCTTTGATCCGTATTACGAATCATTCTTTTTCGCCGCAGTCATTCGCACGTCCTTGTCTGTACTTAGTCCCACTTCTCTCTCTCACCTTTGTGATCGCATTACGGTATCAAAAATGTTCGTTTATTTATTAGCGTATTGCTTCGAGGCAGACGATACCCCTGGCTTAATTTTCAGTAGTATGCCCTCGGAATGGGATCGGCCACATATGCGTTGGACACTTCGGCTCGAATATGTGCTCTCTGATAGGACTGCTCTCGACGCCTTCAGAGACTGGCTGGCAGCAAATTCCAACCCGCAGGTGAGCGTATATCCTTGCTAATGTGGAACTGTCTTTGTGACTTTATAACAATAAGCTTTGTTAAGCAGTTTGTGCGATGGGGATTTTGTTCAATGAACATTTATTACTTACTCGCTATTACTTTACAGTTGTTTGTCTGTACTTGCTTTCTCATTATTTGTAAATGCTGTAAGTTTAAGCTGTATTAGAAACCTTTTCTTGGTAAGGCATGCAAATTACTATGCGCCTTCAACTTTGGGAGGGGGGGGGGAGAGAGAGGGGAGTAGTTTTTCATCAAAATTGTGTGGTACACGTACTCAGGACGACACGCACTTGTGGAGTAAGTGAATCACATAGAATATAGATGTCCTTACAGATTGAACTTTGCTTTATCCCATCTTTTCAGTTTTGCCGAAAACTGCATAGTTTTGGCAGAAAGTCACTTTCAAAGAAATAATTTTCTCTTTTTTAATTGAGCAAGGGTAAAAAGAACGTGTTACAGATTTATAGTGTGTGTGGTGCAAGGGGTAGCAATGTACCTCACACTTTTTTGAGCTTCAGACCTGATAGCAGTTTTTTCAAGCCGGTGAAAAAAGTCACATTTGAGGTGTTTTGGAGCAGCGGCTTATGTCCAAGTTGTGTTTTTAAAACACCTTTCTCTGTGAAATGTACCATAAAGACTAGAAAAAATCTTTCTATAAAGGTTTTGTGGACTTCATAATATGGCATGACAATCCAATTCTTTGCCAAATTTACAGCGATTATTCGAACGAATAATGACGATATCCAGTGAAGTTTATTTCTAGCCTCTGGAGCTACACTTTGCCGTGCTCGCGTATGACAGGATGTCAGCTCAGCGAAATGCACAAACCGCTGATTTGGCCAAGTCGATCTACCAGAAATACATCTCTGTTCGGACTGCTTCCAGTTGCTTCAATTTCATACCCCACAAGCTGCGGCAAGAGGTAGGCATTTAGTTTTGTTTTCAGTCATGCTTTCTATGGTGAAAGTATGGTTAAGATTGGTATCCGGCTGAAGCAAACTGGCTCCGCTTTTCCGGACGCTCGGCTCTTTTCGCCTATATTGCCATATCTGGATTCATTTCTGCGGCAACAACACGAACAGTTCGTTTGCTCCGAAGAGTTCCTGGACGCATTCAACCGGGTGAGACTTCGTACATCCATACTATCCTCCAAAGTATCTGCTGGGGTTGTATCCTTAGAAGTTTGCGCACTAGATCTTGGCTGTTCTTTCAGGTGAACATGGGAGTTGAGGAAGCTGGCGACAATATATCAGAGCGTCGTCGTTCCAGCGGAAGCAAGAAACCGCAGCTCACTGCAGAAATGTTGATGAAGTCTCGGCATGATCGGGAGCATGTCTTAGGAGAGAGGTATGCATTACCTAGGAACACTTTAACATCGCTTGTCTGCTCTTTATCCGTTCATTCTTTGCTCAACGTAGCTTTACGCAAACAAATGACGTTCATGATTTCGAGATTCGTGATACTCAAGTGATCCGCAGATGTACTCCCTCAGTCTCTGAATTTTGCTGTGAAAAACCTGCTGTGCGAGACATACCTTGTACTCATTGCGAGTTTGTGTCTGTTAGATAGGTCACGTCTGCAATTAACCTTTTTTTTCCATCGTTAGTTTTCCTCTTTCGCATTCATTCTTTCCTCATTCTTCTGTATTCAAGACTTGTTCCTCCTTTATCGAGGTGGCCCCAATCTTCTTTTTTTCGTGATTGTCATACTCTTTGATCTGTTTCAGTTCATTGGAAAAGATGTATCCGACGTCTGCCATGCCTCGTCCCTACGTTTGTCATGCAACAACCAGCCAAAACGACAGTGCAGTCTCGTCGTCATTTTCATCCGACGCCAACGGGCATCGTCCAGCACGGTAAGTATTCATGATTGTTTGGAGTTTCTGTACTTATCATATCAGGCTGCGAAGTATTCGAGAGGAACATCTACGAGGGAATCCGACAACATTCGCCATCCCAGTAAGATTTGTAAACATACTGTGAAAATCTTTCATTTTTCTCTTTTTTTTTGAAGCTGTTATGTAGGAATTCTACTTCCTTTCTGCATCAGTCTCATTTCAGCGTGTCGAACATCATCCGAAGGCCGACACGATGCAATTTGATCACAACACCGAGGAGGGTATGTTAGTTGACTGTATGAAATGCACTAGTCTTGTAGTACTTACAGGATTTTTGTGGTAGCATAAAGATTCTTATTTTTGTCTTGAAGGAAGAAAAGTGTTTGCTGCGGTACTGTTCAAGAAGCTGAACCGAGTGCAAGCAAGACGCGAACGAAACGATGAAACCGAACGACAACTACGAGATATTGAAGATAGGAAGTGTACGGTCAGTTTTCAGTTGTCTTACAATCTCAATCCAGCTTTTTTTTTCCTCCATTATCATACTGATTATTTGCAGACTCTTGATCTCGTGTCGACATCCGAAGCTGCGCACGATGTTGCATGCGATGATGATGATGATGTGGAGTGTTATCTTGAAAGAATGAGAGAAGATAGTTTGAAAGCTTCTGCAAATCGATCTCCTCGTCATAGCGCACTTTCACCTAGTATGTGCTTCATCTTTCATTCGGTGTTTTTTATTTACAGTCAACAAGCTTTGTATTTTTTGCATATACTTTTAAGGACCTTTTTCGCCTGAACGTGACCGCAGTAAAGCTTGTGGTGTTAGCGGTGCAACAATGGGTATAATGTCTGTTTCGATGTCAACTTATCCTCGATCATCGAATCAGTTCGCACCGCCACCTTTGCCCAACTCGTTCAATATCTCTGGCGTGTTTTATAAGGAGAACAGGTGCTTGTCGCTACTACATGGTTGTATCGATTTTTTAGTTTTGATTAGGGTTATCTTGGCTCGTTACAGACCTGCAAATCAGACGGCTCCACTCTACGATTCCTCTGGAGTGGGTTCCATGGCCCCGTCGGCATTTTCCGATACTTCTCGAGGTTCGCGTCGTATGCCTATGGTCATTCCTCCAGCCCTTGCTACTCCTCGACGAACGCGCCGATCCCTTCCGTCGACAGGGCAGCAACTAATTACTATATCGTACAAAGGTGAGCGACCAAATAAGTTGTCAGTTTCTTCCCGAAGAGCAAGAAAATTACCTTGGTAAATTGGAGATCTCAACTATGGTGGCAAAGTCCCCTTACATCTCCTTATCGTTATTGTTTGATATTAAATTTGTTTTTTCCACCTCCCATGGCAGCGGTTGTTCTAGTAACAATCAACGAGCAGTAACGATTCGTTTTAATCGCGAGAAGGGGATTTGAGGGCAGATAATTTGTCTGTGACTTCTCATATATGCTCTTCCACTCCCTATCCTCCTCCTTTTCTGGTTTCTGCAATGGGGTGTTGACTCATGGAGAAACTTAGAGTATCTGGAGAAAATGTTTAGCTTATCTCCTTTGTGCATTTTGAAGCTGTTTGTGAGTGATTTCACAAAACAAGGTGCTGACTGTCGAAACGAATTTGCTGGGAAAGGCTAAAGCGAAAAGGTTGCAAATCACTCTTGTGTTTGTGAAGTGTAAAGCAAAAAATTTGCAGAATTTCGATATCAGCTGGCCTTTCCGGTAAAGTCGTTAAAGGCAGTGTCTAGGCAAATCTGGACCTATGGTGCTCTCGCGTGGAAAGTAATCTTGAGGCCCTAAATAAGACTCTGCCCAGGCGGGAGTTCAGATAGTTCGTTCAGATAGTTTGGAGAGCATTATTTTAGCCGTGAGTGCACTATATGAACTGCCGCCTGGACAGAGTCTTATTTAGGGCCTCAAGATTACTTTCCACGTGAGAGCGTAGGTCCAGATTTGCCTGGACGCTGCCCTTTAATTTCTTCTCCCATTTCTCATGGGCAGCAGCAAAATCTTTCCTCTCTTTAGAATGGTGCGTGACGAATTGTAGCCTGCGAACTGCTTTCGTACCCGGTGCAAAGAATTTCACACAATGAACAAATATTATATCACAAAGACGAAATATATCTCGAGGGGATGTCATGCTGCATAATCTAGGAAGACTTTGTTTGTCAACCTGAAAATATAGAAGCCAATTGCAGGTATCGATGGAGTTCCAGTTGTAGCGCATGTCCCAGTACCCCCAGGTGGGATAACTCTGAAAGAATTCCGACGACATTTTTCCATTTCTTCACATGCTAATGTACAGTAAGTGTATCGACACATGTGAATAGCCTTTATTACAAACCAATATTTGGTGTAGATTCTTCTTCAAAACAACATGCGAAGATGGATCTGCTCCTTACCAGTTACTTCTGGTTAATGACGATTCTGCTTATCTTCCCATTTTCGAAGGAAGAATCACAGCCGAGCTAAAGAGGATTTCTCCTGAATGATTTACGGCATTTGATGTGCTTTGTTACTAGGACTTATAGCGCTCTTCTCCCCTCTATTTCTAGTTGCCCTTTTAGTGGATCTCGTTTAAATAGATTGAAGTTCTTTCACAACTTGCTCGACCGCTTGCCTATCATTCGCTTACTAATCTGCCTTTTATTAACGCTTTCCGCTTTTCATCTTAGTGCCTTGCTCTCTTGAGCAACTCAAGCTGATTACTAGTGCATGAATTTTGGGCAGCTTTGATACTCAGAACTTCAAATTCTCTTCCTAATCGTATCACGTGTATACCTCCCTTATCCCGAGTGTACTATGTAGTGGCGGTTTTCTTGTCACAGAATTCAGTGCTCACAGACATCTGCTCAAGTGCCAAAATGCGTTTAGAATGCATTTAATGTTGAACGAATGAAGTTTTTATTTTGTGCCATGTTTTCTTCTGAGCGTTTTAGGTTTGATTATTGTGTCCTTTTAAGTTTTACTGTTCAGGTGCGATCGTAACTGTGAGGGTTGAGGTTGTAGTGAACAGCCTTGGTTTGTATCAAGGGAAGATCAGTTTAAGACCGATTGCTGTAATAGTCTACTCATCTTCTTTTTGAGGGAGAATGGATTTTTATTAGCGTTTGGAGATATTTTCCTTGCGCTCGATGTATCGCCTAATTCCAGTATTTCACAGCAAGCAGAAGCTTAGGATCAAGGAAATACAAGCTGTTTCAATGAGAGAGGTCTAGGGGATCAGCACCTCGAGACCGCCTTGGTCGGTCTTGCGCCGCATTCGCAGTTGTATCCTCTGGGCATTTTCTTGCGCCACCAGCCTTCAGCCACTGCTTCAGACGTGGGAAATTGCCCACAAAATGCGAATGCGGGGTGCGCAAGCCGGAGCGGGGCACATGCGAGGACTCCAGCATCCTAGTGCCGAAGCTCTAACAATCGCAATGAGATAGCCTGTAGTTCTTTTCTCTTCTCTAATTTATTAACCTTGATGCAAAATCTCATTTGCATCATATGATACTCACTGCAGTCTTCGGATATTCTAAAAAAGTGGCTCTATGCCATGTAGTGAATTTTGGTATATTTTGGAACATATAGATCAAAAACCAAGTGAAATTACAAGTTCGTAGGGTAGCTTCTAATCTAAAGCGCTATCGTCACTCTGTATAGCATTTGCTTGAGATTACAAAATTTGGCTCTATCCCATGTTAGTTGACCAAAAAATGAAAATCGCGAATTTGGTTGAGATGGTTGCTCCGTCTAGTGGGTTATTTGTTACGCTAAACATGACTAACATATTCATTTCTTACGGTATCGCCGTTTTCTGGGTTACTGTAGGCATATCGTCCTCCCCCTTCCCCCTCAGTTGCTGCTACCCTTGGTCTGCGTTTCAGACCTACCACGTATGGCTAACATGTTGGCAACGTCAGCAACACATGTTTGCAACATGCCACAACATGTTGGTGGAACATTTTGGCCGCGCAAACATGTTGCTGCATGTTTGCATGCACACGTGGTAGGTCTGAAACGTAGACCAAGGGTAGTAGCAACTGTGGAGAGGACGATACGTTAGGTGGCTAAAACTTCCGAATTTGCTCAACACTTTGCATGGGGGGTTCACAAGCATGCTGATAACGAACATCATGTTCCTTCGCTGTACAACGCCTTATTGAGCATGGTGTTGGTATACATGCTTAAGAATCCCTCCATGCAAAGCTTTGAGCAAATTCGGAATTTTCAACCATTTACTGACGAAAAATGACGCTATCGTACGAAATGAGTATGATATTCATGTTCGTACCAAAGTCTGGGAAAGCTCCATATTTTGACTCTACCGTAATCCTACCGTAACTTTACTAGGTGGCAGTACCGTTCGAAATAAATGCGTTATTCGCAATTAGAGTGCAAAATAACCCCCCCCCCCTAGATGAAGTTCTAGCGAAATCGGAGGTATTTTTTTGGGCCAACTAAGTGGAATAGTACCCAAAATTCACCCTCTCTTAGGCCTCGGGCAGAGTTCACGCGATTTCGACGCTGCGATTTTTGCAACAAAACAAACGGTTACAAGCCCATTGCATCCCGATCATCTTGCATTTCGGTTGGTTAGTCACGATTGGTCGTGTTGGAGAACTAGGCAGGTTCAACGCCCGCGAGCTGCCTCTTGCGGGCCAACATTGGCATTCGCGCGCAGAGTCATCATAGCGCCCGTATTCAGCAGTCGTGTTGCATGCAAGCTCGCATGCATTCAGCCTACAGCGAGGTAGGCGATTTCGTGCAGTCGACTTTATCAAGCCACGCCATAATCCTACAAGCTCTGCCACCCATGAAGTGAAAGCCGGGAGGGGGGGGGGGGGGTTGGATAGGACTCCCAGACATCGGGTCTTTTCGGATTTAATGTTTTTGTTTGGCCTTGATTTTTGTCATTCTCGCAAAAACAAGGAAGGGGAAATTCTGGTGGACGCTGCCTTATAGGTGTTGCAAGAATATTTAAAAGGCTCAGTTCTTGTGATCTAACAAGGGATGGATAACGGTGTCGAAGTGGGATTTCCATATGAAATGTACACTATCTTATAGAGCACGAAATGCTGATTCAAAATCTGCTTTCCTTATCTGCAAAGCGCTTTTGGGAGGGAGTTCTGGGAATTTTTTTGATGAAAATTCAATGGTTTGGCTAAGGTGAAAATGTGTTGAGATCTTTCCGGCGCTTAAAATGGGTAATGACTGACAAGAGCTTATCAGATTGAAGGTAGTATTGCATAAAACGCTTTGGTAGTGATCATAGCCCCATTTGAGTTCATAGACTGCACTTTGAATAATTTTATAGTGGCAGCGCGTTCAAATTTTTTCTCCAAGAAATTCCCATAACTTCCCTCTTAGAAGCGCTTCGCAGATATGGAAAGCAAATTCGGAATCAGCTTCCTAAGTCCTATAAGACAGTATACATTTCATAATGGAACTCCACTTCGACCAGGTATCCTTCCCTTGTAAGAGCTAATTTTTGCGGTATCCTGGATAGTGTGCCGCATAGGTGAGCAGCTTAGAGAGTCGTGCAAAGCAGATCGCAAATGTAGCTGAACAAGATTATGAGCAGGCTTAATGTGTGGCTGGTTTGATTTGTGGAGTATATATTAGGTGGGTGCAAAAGTTGTTGTGGAACGCGTTGAGTCGTTGACGATTCATTAGAAAAACACAAGAGTTCCCCCTCTGCCTATCGGCGTACATGCCGAGGGTTCACTAGGAATAACTAAAGAACAACACACAAATATATCAAGGTGCGGCGGGTACGCCGCAACCACAGAGACCATATCGACCTAGCCTATAGTGAGTGCGCAAGTTCCAGTATAAGGGACGGCTCTACAAGAAGTTCGTTCGCCAGTTCTACAAAAACCGTAACTTCCGACTCGATGAATCTCCTTGACTTTATACTCATTTAGAAGAGGAAACCTTTCTCTGTACAGCATTACCTCTGCCATGAATTGGCTTGAGAAAGTTCGAAATCTAAAAGCAATTGAATGAAAGTACTCAGAGTTGGCATTTTTCAAGCAGGGTCATGAAAAATCCTGGAAGTATTTTTGTATGATAGAGAGAATTTTGCACATTGCAATGGTACCTTTCCCATGAATTAAAACGAAAAAGATCGAGAGTTAGAGACAAATAAAGAGAATTACTTCAGTTTTGCAATTTTCTTAGCATGCTCAAAAAAGCCTAAAAACGTAACAGAAAGGACGGAAGAGTCATGAATGTGGGTTTGGTAACCTTCTATTTCTAACTGAGCGAGTTTCGTGCTGAAGGAGAGTAATTTTGATTTTTGTGAATAACGCACATCCGAAAATCCGAAAAACACAAAAATCAAAATTGCTCTCGATCAGCTCGAAACTCGCTCAGCTAGAAAGAGAAAGTTACAAAACCCATGTTCATGTTTTTCCGTCTTTCTGTTACGTTTTTAGGCTTTTTTGAGCATGCTCAAAAATTGCAAAATGAAGTAATTTTATGTCTCTAACTCTCGATCTTTTTCGTTTTAATTCATGGGAAAGGTACCATTGCAAGTGCAAAATTCTCTCTATCATACAAAAATACTTCCAAATTTTTCGTGACTCTGCTTGAAAAATGCCAACTCTGAGTTTTATTCAATTGCTTAAATTTCGAACTTTCTCAAGCCAATTCATGGCAGAGGTAATGCTGTATAGCGAAAGGTTTTCTCTTCTAAATGAGTATGAAATCAAAGAGATTCATCAAGTCGGAAGGAAGTTATAGGCTGTCCGCGCTGCGCACGGAGAGCAACGCTGTTGCGTACACTGAAGGCAGTTCACGACTGGAAGAAGCGCAGAGAAAAACAGGCGGCGAGAGTGCGCGAGGAAAGAGGAGTGACGCGCAATACATACCTTGCGCACTCTCCGCGCCCTGCGCGGATGGTCTATACGATTTTTGAAAAACTGGCGAACGGACTTTTGCGCCCACCTAATACTTGCTAAAATTTTCCTGCGTTACAGATTTTGCAAAGGTCGTAAATGTAGCTGCACAAGCTTATAAGCAACGTGTCAATAACTTCATTATAAGTCACCTTAGCGAAAGCAGCAACGCAGGAGAATTCCAGCAAGTGTATACCTACATTTCAAGTTGTCGGTTTACAGACGGCGCAATGGCTTTGCAATTCTTGCGCATAATTTGCCAGAACAATATCTTATTGGCCTGTGCTGATGACTATAAAGCGGATGGAGTACGGGTGTAAGAACACCGTGATAAATCACTTGCAAGCTTAGAAGCATGACCATAAACAGACGTCACTCCAAAGGGATATTGGACTCAAATTATTGTGGTTCCGCTGATCTTGTACACATCAAGTAAGATGTGGCTGTGAAGTCAGAGCACAGAAGTGTTAGCCGTCTGAAGGCTTAGCTCGATATTGATGAATTTTGGCATAATTTAGCTCTTGTATAAATTTTCTTTAGCCGATAACCAAGATGTCAACACCTTTATTCGGTCAGTCTATTTCGGTGCCGTCACATTCGTCGGAACCTGGAAGGTCGTACGCATTAGTGGTTTGTTCTCCCAACACCTCGTTCAAAGCAAGGCTACACTCAACACTAGGTTATTCTGAAAGCAGCGGCGGAAACCATCGTCAATGCTCACCTCAGCAGTCTTCGAACCATAGTTGAGTAATCACCGAACCTTCTGCACAGTTTGTAGTAGCGGATATATGGGTGACTCTAAGGGCCGCATGCACTAACAACCCAGCTGGGGAGGGGAGCGCAGCTCAGAAGAAAGCTTCATAGTCTGAAGCTCCAGATATCTAGATCTCACGCTGTCTACCTGTCCGCAAGTATTCCTACTATCCTTCACTATGAACATATTAAACAGGAGCGAGAAGCTGTACGAACCGCATTTTCCAACTTTTGTATGATCCCTGACGATCCCCAGCGCTTATCTTTGAAGTC